TTTTATTGGGGCAAAGCTTATCATGAAAGAGGCTCTCATCTTTGTTTCTATAATTCATTTTTATACTATGGATTCCATTCATGTTTAATTTTCATTAAAGTAAATTTTAAATTAACCGTTAGCAGTACCCATGCATTCGCTATTTGTTAAAGATTTCCTGAAAATGACTATTTTTGGAGAAAGGTAGTTTCCACTGGTTTAATCTAATTATAAAATTCATGTAAATGTTTGTTCGTCTTTTGACTATATTAAATGTAAGCTTCCTTGGTTGTGGAGGTCAACAATAAATGCAATTTTTAGTTTGTGGGACACGCCATCGCATGCCTGCACGCCAGGATTGGGAGGTGCGACCGTATAAACAGTGACCAATCACTAACCTCTGTTTGTTTAACCTAATTAGCCATCCTGATCATGATTAAGCTTCCTGTGTGTACACTTTATCCGCAATATACGTCCTGAATAAACGTGCTCCGTGCTACACGTCTGTTTACTTTATAGCTGGGCTATAGCTTAGCTGGTTCTGGGGGTCTAGCATGATGTTGGAGAATCTGCCATAGAGATTTCTGAGTTAGTCAGGCTTTATTAGCGTAGCAATCCGCTACAAGTTCTTTAATCTGACTTAGAATTTACCTTTTAGCATTAGCTGCAGGTTAGTCTTATCAAAAACTTAATTAGATTAAAATAATTTTGTATTACTAATTTTTATGCTGCGAAAGTAGATTAATAGTGTGAAATTTGCGCTTTATGGCACAATTTAATGCCTTAAGTAAAGACAAACTTACGGAGATTGGGTTCCGGAATAGTACTGGCCTCTATTACCGACACCTGCTGAATAGGATCGGCCTAAACCGAAAAAATCAGGCTTAAATGAATTTGGAAATGAATTAGTAATCAGTAATGAAGCGAATGCAAGAAAGCTAAGTTAATTTAACAGAAGCTTTGCTGTTAAAAGGAACACATATGCATATAATTATGGTTGGTGAAAGCACAAGTGATATACTCTTTTGATGTTGTGGTTGGTAAGTCTTGCCATGGAATCTGATATCTTGAGTGTTAAAAAAGCAGATGAGAAATTTTGTATAAGTGCAATGCTTTTACTCCGTTTTATTCTGTGTGACTATTATTTGATTTAACTTGAAACATCGATTTCAGAAAATCGTTATACGAAACATTATTATTTCTTGTCCGAAATTTATTCACTTAAGAAAGCACATCTATATATAAAGTAATATTAATGAGGGAATAATATGTATTGAATTTTAAATTTTCAAGCTAAAATTATCTTCAATAAATTTTAAAAATGTTAAAAACGAACAAATTTTCTGATTAAATACATGTTTCCAATGAGAACATTAGTACAATGAGAAAATCAAATAATGAGGCTTATTCAACAATGAACGCCTTTGTGTTTTAATTGTCATTTGGAAATAGTCAAACCAGATTTAATTATAGTTATATTTCTAGCATAATTTTTCAAAATAATTAGAAAGATAGCACTCATCGCACTTGCGTTCTACTGAAGTGCATTTAATAATTGAAATAACAATATTTATAAGCTATTGTCATATATTTTTTTCATTTCGGTTCAAAAAAAATTATCACACACTTTCTTGTTTGCAAAAATCTCGATTTAGTTGAAATCCTAAATTTCGTAAAAAGGAAATGCCGGTTTTTTAATGTTCATTCGTAGGAAAAGAGTTTATGCAATAAAGCATGTTATCAAATGGTTATATTTAAGCTCTAATGAGATTATTTGCTACACAAGAGCTGTTAGATCTGTTCTTATAACAAAAGAATATTTTTTTATTTATGAAGAACCTCTTGGTTGGAGAAATCCCAAAATAGACCGGCGTCTATATGAAGGTGAGAGTGGACTTCTCAACGGTATATGTGATGAAATGTCTTGATTTCGAAGCCGGACTTCTCTAGCCTGAGTTCGGGGACTCAAAGTAGTATTGGCTGATACAGAAGTTGGGGATACGACTACTGTTGTGAGGGGTGGGGGTCGTTGGATATTTGACCCGATTGAATACTTACTCGTGGTAGACACAGCATCAGCTATCGTTTTAGTAGGAATATTCGAATAAATTTGGCCGTTATGAACATTTCGATGATTGAAGAAATACAATAGAAAGTAAAGTTAAAAGCCACCTACCAGCCGTTTGGGAACCTGCTCTTGGCAACGTGGCGGCGTTCGAGCCAGATTCTAGATCCTGAATTCCACGTCCTATTGGCAAAAGAGAGACGATTTCCTGGCAGATTTCACCATATCCTGTCTCGGAGACGCGCCTTGATGTTCTGTGATGCTAATAAATTTAAAAATAATTTACTTCCTGTTTTGAAGATATCATAAGACACCAAAGATCGTATTTTACACAAATTGTAGAGTGACATTTAGTTGTCAAAATTATACAATACTATGTGTTCGATTTTTATCAATATATTTTGGGTTTATAATCAATGAGAACAATTTATCAAAAATCTTGGTGATTGTTTAGTTGAATCTAACGTAAATGTGATAAAGTTTATTACGCGCAGAAACTTTTCTTCTTTCGGCTTTTTTTAAATGGGAACAATAAAATTAGTTTTGGTAAAGGCTGAAATTAAAACGGAAACTGAAAATCAATTGACAGAAACACTCGAACACTATGAAGAATTCAATTTATAGTAATGTGATTAAATGTTTCTTCGTATTAAGAATGCTATGAGTTTAAGGCTATTTCGCCTCAACTTTTCTAATGAATAGATGTAATTTATACACTGAAAATTCAAAAGGAATCCCCAAATAAATTAGGAATCCAATTTATGGTAGCAAATCGAAATTTAAACTTGAAAATCGATATACACATCTAAGAAGCACACAGATATGACTCAAAGAGCAGCCCCAACAGATATCGGTGTACACGTTGCCCACTTAGGGGTTAATGAAATTGAGAAATTTAAAGAAAGATCCTTTTCACAAAACAATTTTACAATTAAGTAAAGATATTTAGTTAAATTTAATTCCATTGGTTGAAACCAAGATATAGAACACATATTTCTATCTAACTTTGTTCACCAGTTCAGAGGTAACGTCATCCATACACAACACAACTTATCCAGTTATGTAGGTAATAAGTTGCAGTGTACGATGTTACCAAGCATAAAAGGTACGCTCTCATCAGGTGTACGACTGTAAATTTTTAACAAGGGAAAAGTCTAACGGATTTGTTCAAACAAAATTCTTTTCCAGAAAAATATTTTTAAATGTTCACAAATTTATTCATCGCATGTCTAAAATGTGCTAGTTCCTATTAATTTCTATTTGAAGACATTAATATTTGCTAATTTACAAATCAGAATGCGTCATTTTTAGAAGTTGCCATTTTTAAATGAAAGAGGTAAATCGATGTCGGTAAAGATACCTCGTTTGTTTAAAAATTAATACACGTTAAGAACTTTAAAATTTAAAGGATATTCAGTGCAGAAACGTTTGACAAACATTTCTAGTGAAATAATTAACGATTTTTAAATTCAAATTTAGATCACTTTACTTTAAAAGTAATTCTGAAATTTTAAATTGGTCTGTTAAATTTATATTTACACATTGATTGCTTGAGTTTTCATTGGATATACTGTAAATATGTGTGCACAAATGATTATTCAATCGCTATGTCAACTTATTAAAATCTAAATTATACATTTACTTATTAGTTATCTTGATCCAACAAGTTAGCACTAAAATTGTTATAAATGAGGTCTTATAACGGATAAAATTATTGACATAAATAATAAAAATAACCTCTGAGTGCTGATTCAGTTCATTTTTACGTCGAAGATTTTCTTGATGGGCAGAGTAGGTTCCACGTATTGGAGTGGGTTTCAAATAGGATCCGCCACGTATATTGTTTTCTGTGAGAAAGAAAAAATTGTATTATGCAACAGATCTTTGTGAGAAATTCATTAACATGGACATTTTACCTGAACTCCACTGATTTCGAAGACTGTTCGTATATTGATGAATATTTGTCTGACTAAGTGTTCGAGGTGGCGCTCCTGAAATCATGGGAAAAAAATTATTATTTTATGGAAATTAAAGCAGTCACTTTTGAACGATGCACGAAGTAGTAAAACAAAAATAGCTGCATAGCAAATCATGCGTGAGTAACTATTTTTGAATATCTGAAAATAAAAGAGATTAAAGAAAGTTGAATAAGTACGTTATAATTAATCGAATTTAATATTATTTAGTGCTAAAATCGTGCTTAATATCTTCCACCCCTGAATTATTTCTGCTACTCATAGTGGATCTGGGAGCAGATTGTCCAATGCCTGCTCGAACGGATGCTGGCGGTTTTCCAAGCGCACAGCCTTAGGTTAAAATAAAACCAAGGAGTCTCTCAATTATCAGTCCAATTCAAAATATTTTAAACTATATTCAGATTGCAAGGTAATCATACTAATATGGTGCTAATGAAGTCTTTTGCTTTGCTAGGCAATTGCGCCATTGTTGACCAAACCACCCCGTCTGCTTGCTTTAAACAAACTTCTGATTGTTCAAAACTCATGTAATCATTGACGCTAAATAAATGTTAAGTGGACAATCTTTTGATAAAACATTTCTAAAGCATGATAATTTAAGTAAAAGATGCTTCTAAAACACGCAACTCGTGCTAATATTCCCAGTAGTTTCAAGTATATCCCATATTCTTCAGTTGTAAAAGTGAACTTCGAAATTGAGAAAGAACTTTTAAATTGATAAATACGATAGCATGCTTACTTGCAGAGTTTTCCATTCGTCTCTGCATATTATATGAAGTTGATCTTTGAACTAAAAAAGCATTAAAAGAAGCGTTTTCTTCAAATTATTAATTTTAATCAATTAACTATTTTTTAAGCTTACTTTCTTCCATCATATCTCCATTTCGAGAATTCAGGCGAGAAGATGGCACACGTCCTAAACGAATTAGGGATGAATCATATGATAAGATTCAAGCATAGAAGCACAAACTTTTCAGTAATAAAATGGAAAATGTTGGGATAAATTTAAAATATATTGCAATGATGATGCTGATGAAAACAGATTCGATTTTATGAGAATTGATTACGAAATGCCGCTCATGTCACATATTTATCTTCAACACTTTTTGTATGGAGTAATACAAAATTATTGACTTACTGCTTGGCATTTCGGGGCGATCTAAGTCGAACGCGCAAAAAATTAACTAGTGAATGTTCAAGAATAAAATAGCTCATACTAATTTAGACAGCCTATAACTCATTTCTGATCAGTTACAGTGAGTATATACTTTAAAAATTGGTAGCATCTTTAGCCTTCCGTAAATAAAGGAATAAACATACTTCTTCGAATCGTTCTTCTTTGAATGATAGTTTCGCTAGTATCATCCTCTTTCTTCATTTCTTCGGTGGTAACGACTTCAGAATCGCCGTTTCTTGTGACCATTGTGGGTTTTCTGGTGACTCTAAAGACGGATGCTGCGGAAGGTGTATTTGGAGCTGGGAAAGGTGGTAGGGGAGAAAATCCGTTCAAAGGAGCAGACTGTGCAGATAGTGACGGAGGAGCAGGAGAGATCACGAATCGGCCTTCACCCTGGAGATCAGAGGTGTGCGACATCTGGCTTTCTCCTGTCTCACGAATGCTCTCCTCACGTCTAGACCACTCTCTTGGCCCATCCTGCCCACTATCTATGCGAAGAGAGGTTTCCCGAATGGAACCGCGGGGTTGAATTAAGTAGCCGGAATTTTGATTGACGTGGTTAAAGCTTGCAGATGAAGTAAACAATTCGTTCGTCCCATCTGCAAATAGTTTCATGCAGTACTCATTACATTTAAATATTTGGTATAATTAGTTAAAATTAACTTATATGATTATTTTAATCAACTGGATATTAAGAGAAGGTAATATCCTAGGTTTAGTGGCATTATTTATTTATCTTTAGATTACCAATGTTGAGCAAACTTTAGTAATTATAGATTTGTAAGACCTAATATGTGATGTTTTAATCATACACAGCATAGCAAGGCACAAGGTCATTGAGATGCTTTGAAAAAGAGGCACTTTTAGGAAAATTTTTGCAATATTTCGCGATGTATTTTCTGATAACTAGCAAATCTATTCGTCAATAGGAATGCAAATAGAATTAAAAATGTCAGTAAGTACCCATTTAGACTATTTTAAAAAGATTAAAGAAGTAGTGATTTGCAAAACCAGATAAAGATAGATCCCAATTTTAAGTGAAGAAACCGTCCGAAATAACGGAAGTAGATTGTAGTGCTAACCGAATTACTTTAAAATCTATCACAAAATAATTTTCCATGATTATTTAAGCAACATATCATACTTTCATCAGTGAGGATTTACATTTAGTCAGATTTATTTAAAAAAAGCATTAAAGTTTAAAAGAGCCATGCATCACGTAAATAATTGACAATATATTCATTAATTTTAAAGATTATAAAAAAATTAAACTTTAACTCCTCCATTAGAACTATCCTTAATAACAATATTAAAAATAAAGTGTCTCTAGTTTATTTAGGATAGCGTATGAACTGGCAGTTTTAAGTCTTTGCAGGGGAAGGAACGAACTATACCAGCTCACTTACCTGCCATTGTTTTCGCTGGATTTGCAAAAGTAGGACACTGGAACTGTGAATGCTCATGTTGAAAAACCAACACCTTATCCACTGAGCTATTAGGATATTCTTCTTTTAACTTTTTATTATGCAATAACTCACTGACATCTGTATTGTCAATGCTATTCTATGCAGGTATGTGCAAGTGGTTAAAAATTTTAGCATATTGTGACATCTGCTATCTAGTAAGGGGTGTGTGCGAATGACTTATCTCTACGTGTAGCACCCTGGGGAGCGTATATTCATATGGCAAAATATCTATAATGCGACAGTTGACTGCTGAAACCAAACTATCATGACCCGATTGAATTTCATGTTCCATTACTTCTATAGTACGCACCTTATCCTTTTCTCTACCGTTGTATAGGTCTCCTTTACATCTGTGAATCACTCCTCTGTTCCCCTCTCTCAAAATCCTGAGACTTTGTCTGTTTCTCCCCTCCGTGAAGCCCGAAGTCAACTAAAAGGCTAATGCTAACTGGAAAAATTAAGTTACAAGTGAATTAATGTTCGGAAAAAAGGTCATTTTTAAGTTCACTCTGTTGCTTATAAAGTTATTTAAGTAAAAGAATTGAAAAATCATTGTACAATGTGAAAAGCATGTATCAAGAGTCCCTAAGAAGAGAAATCACTGTCCTATCATCCATCTCACTAGTCAAGTTAGTCCCAGTGAGAACATCGTAATCGATTTATCTTAGAGGCATTGCTAACAATTGCTAACTTTGTATGTTCAAAACTTTGAGGTCAAAAATGAGTCGCATTGTTGATTGCTTTACCAGCGATATTTTTTGATCTAAATATTTTAAATCATACCTGAAAGTAAACGAATCTAGCTAAAAATAATGAGTATTTCGAATTAATGGCGAATTAATTCTCTGCCAGTAAGATTATATTTTGGCGCAATAAAAAATTGCATATATATTGAACTTGTAAATCAATTTATTTGCCTTGATTAGCAATAGAACTTTCCGAATTTTAAATAAAAAAATGCGATTAGGTTTCCTTTTTAAAAATACACAGATAGAGTTCTAGTACTTCTTTGAAGTTTCCTATTTGAACTCAAAACAATGCACTTTATTAACATAAAAAATTAAACTCTCTTCGTTCAGCGTAGGATAACAATAAAAATTTTGAATACAATTTTCGTGATCAACTAAGTTGGGAATATGCTGCAAAAAATGCAGATGATAATGAAAATTTTGTTTAAATTATTTTTAAAGCTAGAAATACTTTATGGTTTCAGCAACTAATGATTATTAATGCGAAAGAGTTCAAAGAAATTGATCATTAAAATCTTTGCAACTAAATTGCTCCTGTTTTATCACTATTAACTAAAAGGGCTTAGGCAATTTTGTACGATGTATCAAAATACTACCAATTGTGCTTGCTTCCTCTTACAAAATACAACAGTTATTGTAAAGAGAATTATGTATATGGCTAGTTTAATATTTAGTAATTAAAATTGTATTAATTTTTTCAATCATATCACAACCATTTAACAATTATGCATTGAAAAATCCGATAGCATTAGGTCAATTAAAGACATTATCGATTATTCTGAAATATTTTGACAACACCTTTTAAGCTCAGAGTTTATTTAAAGTGTGACTTTCAGATTAAACCAAATTAAAGCAACAAATCTCACATACGAAGTGCCAAAAAATAATAATAATAATTGAACACTTCAGTTTTTTGAATTTTAAATAAGTTACATACACAAATATCGCCAATAGAAATACCCATTTATCTTCAATGGAAGGTATTCTTCAAAATCCAACTAAGAATGTCTTAATTCTAAATGCGCAAAAGAAATTCGCTTTCATATGAACCAATACTATAAAATTAAAGGAAGGACATTAATTAAAGCGCAAGTACTCAAGGATACCCGCTAGAATTTTATTTTTAATAAAAATAGACTCATTTCAATCTCTTAAAACTGCATTCCAGGCAATGGATGAAATAGGCAGTCTCTCACAAGATCTAGCTTTATCATTATTATTTAATGGTGCACAATTTAATTGCATTCAATGTTTACCAATCGCCCCGGAAATTTTGTATTATTTTCATCTAGTAACAGGTGCTTATGACAATCTTTCCACTTTCAAGCTCAAGCCCGTATTCCCGACAAGGATGGGCACGTGAAATATTCGAAAACGCATGCTAATGAAAGGGCTAAATTCTGATAATAGTAATATCCAAATAAGTAAATCGATTTACTTGAAAAGGAATAGTTTCGAGAAGGGGTTGCCCCCTCTGTGCTTGGGACGAAGTTTTTGCTTGTTGTTCTTGGTTTGTAAGAGAAGCGTCCTCCGGAACTTTGTTCCTGATACTGGCGAGGATATTCAGAATTATTAAATCTCTTTTCTGGTATGTTCCTCTGTTCATTCTGATAAGTCCGCGAAATTGGTGGAGAACGAACTTCTCCAACTCGTTCCTTGATGTGCCCTGCTGTTGGCTGCATGAAATTCGGTGCAGGATAGAAAATCACGTTATCGGTATCTTGAATTCCGAGTTCAGAGTAAGTGGTATTCATTTTTAACCTATCACTTCAAAATCAGTTACGGATGACGGCTCCGATTGGCTGCCTCGCTTTGTTTTGTCTTGACACTTGAGGTATTTAGTAAATTCTCTAAACTTCCGATAGTAGCTTTAGTAGTGTTGGTGGCAGTAGTAGAAATTAACCCTGAATACACTTTCTTGAGTTCTGAAAGTGCCTTACTGAGAAGAGAGAGAGAGGTTGATTCCGTGCACGCTTACAATGCTAATGTGCTGCACGCAAATCTGCGCACGTGGGTGGAGACGAGTGCAGGTGCGGAGATGCAAGTGCGTGTATGCACTCGATTGAATAGCTCATGCGAATACAACATGCGAATGCACCACGATGCAAATAACTGAGCCACGTGGTTCAATCGATAAATGCGTGTAAGGGCATTGACTAAGTTATATATATAATGCACACAGATGCTCAATTTAACTCTTGTTAATGAAACCTACCATCAACTCTGTCAAAATATGAATAAATATTCAAATATTTAATGAATTCATTATAGAATTTCATTTCAAAATACGGATTACTTTTGCCCACATCATTATCGTTTAATATGGTTTTAGTATGGCCTAAATTAAGATTGATCATCGAGTTTAGGACAAATGATGGATATACCGGAATTCACAGGAAACCGATATTTCAGTTAAATCTTTTTAAACATGGTCTCAAGGTGATCCTCCTGACTTCTAACATGCTGATATTTGAAACGCCAGTTTAAAAGAAAGTCATTTTCAATCCCGTACCCACTTCATTTCATCACGTGCGCAATCTTTACCATTGAGCATGGGTGCGTTTAACTTCTCTATAATTGAATTAGTATTTACAAGTCGATCTTGTCATTAGCTTTATACCGCTCAATCTCACTTTCAAGTGTTTATGCAAGTTACATATTTATTCCTATCCATTATACTTTGTCTTAATTCGAAATGACAAATTTGAATGCATTTTAGTTTATTGGCAAATCCTTACCTATATACAGTGTGTTTTAGAAAGCAATTTGCCCTTATTAGAAAGAAAAATGCAAAATCATATCATCAGGCATTACAAATCATTCTTCAGTTAATCTTTGAAGGAAATATTTTATTGCCATATATAGTATCATTATTCCCGAAATCAACCATATCCATATTTGAAAATATCTTCTTGATGTGAGTGATGTTTTTATTCTTTCTAAAGCTAATGTTTAGAGGAATGATTTAGCCTCTAATTTGAAGCTAATAAGACTAGCTAAGAATGTTTTGTCTATAAAAGGGGTTGTAGTTGTCCAAGATGTGTACGAACAATATCTCTGCACTCGTGTTTTCCTTAGAAAATCCATTGAATTTGAAGAATAACTTTTCGAACAAAGTGTTATCCTTATGGTCACTCATAATTAGGCAATATTAGAATCGATGTGAAGAATTATTCATATACAGTCCTCTCATAATATTGATTAAGTTAATAAAAAATCCCATTGTTTTAGAACTTGAGATTTATTTAGTTTAAATTCATCAAAATCAAATATAACGTTTATATGTTTGTGTTTCACAGAATATTGCCAGAAAAATTTTAAGTGATATATATACCCAAAATATTTCATCTTGAACAGAAAATGTTGCTATTTCCCTTTAACTAATAAATTTCTCTTTTTAAGCATTTATCCAAGATCATGTAAACGCACAATTTAAATCAATATATCAAATGCCTTCCGTTTTCATACTTGATTCGAGAATTGTTTTTGCTAATTGAGTTATCCTTTTATCATTGTAACATATCAATTGTAATCCCAAAATTTTATTCAAAAAATATTATTAGCAAAAAGATTTTTTATTTCCATACGAAGACTTCAATTTAAATTTATGTTCTTATAGAGAACGGAGTAAATATTGAACTTTTCGACCATCTTTAATAAGCATCAATTAATGAAATAGTCGGTTGCCATCATTTGGTAATTAAATGATCAGTTATGATTTCTAAGTGTAAATCGAAATCATCCAATTTTATATCCTGAAAGCATTTTCTATAAATTATAATTTTACCTTACCAGCGATGGTACATATTAACTTTAATTCAATATTACGAACTAATGCTAAAGGATATGAAATTGTATGAATGTATCGAACTTCCAATCTCATTCAATTACCAGAAAGCATATATGTTAATTAATTGATCATTTAACGTTTAAGTCTCGTTTTGCTTCAAAATTTGATTTGCTGAACATTAGTCTAGTTGTTTTTGTCATTTGTTGTAGGCAACAATCGGTAAAATTATCCTCTCTTAATTACAAATAATTCAGTCAAACTTAGCTCACTTGATGTTATTGACGGGCACTTTCAGTGTAGATCCATAGTTGAGACCCCGTTTGCCGTCTTCCGACATCATGCTTCGTGTGCGTTGGAGCTCCCTTCTGGTTTCAATCAACTCGTCCATCAGACGCTGTTCACGATCGGCGCTCAAACTGCCCCTCCGACCAGTTCGATTATCCACGGATAGTATGTCCACCTTTGTCAGATTTGATGTCGACTTAAGTAGCAATATAATCATGTTTGTTACATCTGATGCATTTATAATCTGGGATATGTTTTTTTATTTCTTTATTGATAATTCAGAATTTACACAATAAACTCGGCTTCTTAATTAAGACTTGGCAAAGAAAATAAAATTGTTCACTACTTTAGTGCTAATAAATATGCCATTTATTTTTAATATTCAACAACCCTGCTTATAACCACGGATTGATGTTGTAGTTCCATATATTTTATATATGAAATATAATCAAAATTTTTGGAGCAAACTTTTATATATCTGCCTTGTTTGACAAATCCCATTCAATTTCAATGAGAATTGTCTACGACATTTGGGAAACAGAAAAAAATGTGCTCTTATACAGTAATGCCCTTTCATAAAATCACAATCAACTTCGATATTTGGAAAAACAGCAGCTTGTTAATATTTAGAAATGAGATTTTAATATTCCGTAAATGCTTACTACCTTTACTTTGTCCACCCTTATCAGTTAACTGGGTAATAAATGCTTATAGTACCGTCATCTTAGTTTTTACATCATTTGTCTTTTAGAACCAAAGATAATATTCTATCTGCATAAACGTCTTCCTTGTAGCAGCTTTATATATATCAGCGATTCATATGTGAACACGGCTTTTATTCCCTTTCTAAATTGCAAGTTTAAAGCATATTATTAACTGAAAGCTAAATACCTTCTACAAAATCTGAAATGTGGAAAAGCCCATGGAGTTATGAGGAAGTAAATCAACGCATAGGTTTATAGCTGCGAGTTAAAGATGACGCAAAGGCAAACATTCCTATATTTTCGTGATATTTGCAATGACAAGTGGCATTTATTAAGTGTGTTTCATGTAAAGATTTCTAAGTCACCATGACAGCAAAAAAATACTTCTTTACTATGAACTATGTTAGAGCGGGAGATGAACAGTAACGGCTGATTTGCTAATGTCTTGAAAGAAAAAAAGGGTGGTCTATCCACTTTGTTTTACCTTTGCCAACATATTGGTTGGGAAGAACGTGCCCAAATGATTACTGGGAAAACCCTGATACAAAATTACAGCAAAAAATGAACTTTTCCTAGGGTATTCATAAAGCCTTACTTGATCCACCTCTTCGGGCCAGGAGCCAATTAGATAAGGAATTACAAATTTATGGCAAAGTTGCGTTAATCCAAATGACAAAGTGTGTTTTGGCATGCCACACAAATACCTTAATTTCAGGAGGGTTCTTAGAAAGGAATAATGTTCATAATAAACGAATATTCAAACAAGTAGAACAATACTTTCAGTTTACCAGTGAGATCAAATTATCTATTTCAGAAGATAAAGTGTTAGATCCCTTAAGTATTGCAATGGACAAGGTGAACAGCCTGTCATATATCAAACTATTACTAATTATTTTATAAACCAGATTTCTAGGAATGCATATTCATTTTTGGGTGCTGAAAGATACAAATCAAACTCTGGAAATGTATGTCTGAAAGTTGTTCCTTCTGAGCAGAATAATGAAAATTAACTGATTTTTCGATGTCCTCTCCACGAAATGAATACTTTCATATTATGGGTGTACACTTAAAAGTGTATCGGTAACCCTATCTTCTATCCAATAATAACGTGTTTGGCAAGAGATTCAGTAGATCCCGCACAGTGTGATTGCTTAATCATATGTGTCAGTTGAAGTGACCTCAACACTTTTCAGCTTTCGTGTGAAATTTTTGATTTGAAATCGCATTAGCGTCATATATAATGTCAATAATATGACACAATGCCACAAACATTGAGAAAGTCAGGTACCAATAATTTTTCGTCATAAATATGTATTTCCTAATTATAAGTTAATAACTGGCTTTCATTTGAATAAGCTTATGACAGAAGAACTGGACCTTCATCGAAATTGATATTTTAAGACTAATTTACAACGAATCTCATTGACATACCGGTTTCTTGAGGTAGATATCGATCGGTTCTCGACTTCGTTTCATGTGTCGTCGAGTAAGTGTGGTGCTGTAGCGACCGCCATCACCTCTAACAGTTCCCAAAGACGACCAGCGGGTCATGCGATTGTTGAGAGTATCATGTTGGCGCATTCGATTTATGTCGTCCAGTAAACCATCAATTTCGGCACTCACATGGCCCTTTGACTCAGAATATGTTCGCGACCGATATCCGTCAAAAGTATGATAGTTTCCTGCGATTTACAGAAAGCAAACGAGTTAGTCATTTTCTATCTTTTGGGATACTCCCATCTTTCTTGATTACTACGAACTTGCTTATGTTACTTTCCATTAACAGTTTCGAAAATTCATCATTCACACCTGGCTTTTTGTTTGGCGATTGATTTAATATTAAATGAGATATTAGCATAGCTCAAGAATATTTTGTACAACTATACTATAACAATTATTATACAGTTTGTTAGCTAAAAATGAAAATATCTGGAGGTTCGCAAGAATAATGAATCTTTTTAATCGGGTTCAGTTGAGTTATTGATGAAAGTTTTAGTTGGCTGTTATAGAATTTAGCACATTCACTGCCATCTAATACTTTTCGGTCAAAGCAGAATAAATCCTTCCACAGACATATTTTGAGCTAGTTAATGGACCTCAATCTGCCTTCGACTGTGACTCGCTATTCTGCCTAAACAGAACGGTAAAATACGATCGAACAGTTCCCATAATATTCCTCATGGCATTTTGGATGCTTTAATATTTTGGTAACGGGGTGTGCGATAGACTTACCTCCACGCGGTGCACCCTGGGCAACATATACTCATACGGCAAAAAAGTCTATTAACTAGCAGTTGACTTCTCACTTCAAAATACCATGGCGCAACTGATTGTCATATTTGACCCCTTTCACAGTACTCATCTTACCTTTTTCCCTACCTTTATGTCTGTCTGCCTCTTTTACATCTGTGAATCGCTCTTCTATTCCCCACCCCTCGACTTTCTGCTACTTTGATGAGCCTTCCCTCTGTGAAGCCCGAAATCAGCTAAATGGCTAATGATAGCTATCAAAACGCCTGCCATTTTAAATAAATATTTTGGTAATTCATCGGTTTAGTGTCCAGTCTATTTCAGCTCTCTTAACTTCACGCAAGATGGAGAGTGTTCATTGTTATTTAAGTTCCTGTTGTTTTGCTCTCTCTCTCTTTCTCTCTCTTAATTGGATACTTCACTCTATTTCAAGCATCTATTTCCGTACTTCAAGAAGACTATTATTTCAATTTGTTAACACGATAATTCCTTCTCCTCATTGGATTTTGGTCTGTGCCATCTAAGGTCATACATTCGCACAGTGTTTACTTACGCTCGATACACTGTAAATCAGCTTAAGGGCGATAACTTCTTCTTCT